AGAATATTCAAACTCTGTTCCAGAATAACGTTCGAAGTACATAATCAATCTACTTGACGGCATTTTTTTTAATCACAGACCATGAGAATATTACCTACAATGTTGACATTCCTTTTTAGCGTCTGCAAAGAGTTGGAAAAGATTCATAAGTATCTCACTCTAGCACAAACAGTTGCAACACTGTTCATATTATGTTCCTGTTTGTACCTAGTTTCGACGGTTTGTATTTGCTCATAATATATGATACATTACGAAATCGATAAACTTAACTGTTCTAGACACCTATTAATAGTAAGCAATTTTTGGCTGAGATCGTCTACATGGTTGCCATGGGGTTCCAGTTGGCATTATACTGTCTATTTGGAAATGAGGTTACTCTTAAGGTGAGTCAGTACAGAATTACTCCAACAAAATTACGCCAAATGTCTCACGATAAAAATGGAATAAAAACATATTGGTTTGAATCCACTAAAATGGAGCAGTTTATTTATTGCGATTTTTTTTAAATTAGTGGTTAAATGTAGCCAAAAACATTTTATGGCTCTAACGTTTTAAACTAAACTTTTTCATGAAAATATGTTTTATAGTAAAGTGTTGTGCAGTTATTTATTTCAGACCTACTGAGAATATGCCGACATCATATCAATGAATTAATAAACAAGCTATTAAACGAAAACTGTTAAAAATGGAATGCGATGATTGGCTATACCTGCTTTGGAACCATATGTATTTCATCTCAGTGATTCTTTCAAAGTTTGAAAGTATAACAAAGCATGTCAGAGAAAGTAAAGTATCTTATTTCTGACGAGTTATACTATAGCATACATGAGTTGCTAAAAAGCGCTAAAAAGCTGTCCATGGACAGCGGTCATAATAATAATAATAATAATAATAACAAACCGTCTTTTATTTAAAAAAAAAATCACTATTTTGACTTCCAGTACTCAAGCTTTCGACAGACTATGCTGCCATAATCAGCAGTCCGTCAGTGAGAATAGTGCTAGTATTATATAAGTTATATACAGGTATTATATATATATATAGGGTGGCCCATCCATGTGTGGACGGAATATTACTCATAAACAAATACATTTTCGACAAATATATTTATGGCATGTCATACATGACATTTGAGGGCACATTTCTAAAATATTGTCAATTATACAGGGTGTGCCAATGTTGACCCACATATCAAAACACACAGCTTAGTTCGGCTAAGCCAATTCGTCCCAGATCATTACTGCATAACTGGATGGATACAACAAAGGAAGAAATACGAAAGTTTTTGGCTATTTTAATACTAATGGGAATAAACAAGTTACCTCAAATGCGTCTTTATTGGTTTAACAAAGATATGTTCAGCAATGTGTACATAAAAAACTAATGACGCGTAACAGATTTGAGGTGTTACTTAGATGTCTGCATTTCTCAAATAATAACGATCCCACAGCTCAGAACGACAGGCTTTTTAAAACCAAAAACATTTTGAATTTAGGTTGTAAGCAGTTTCAAAACACTTAGAACCGAACCAAGAAATTGTTATCGATGAAACGATGATTCCTTGGCGAGGCATATTAGTCTTCAGACAATATCTGCCCGCTAAATCGCATAAGTATGGCGTCAAAATGTATAAAGTATGTACTCCCGAAAGATACACATATGATCTGAAAGTGTACGCTGGAAAAAATGACGCCAATCCTGTAGGAGCCAACAGAACTGGGCATACTTACCAAGTTTGCATGGAACTGCTTGCCAACTTAAAAAATTGTGGACGAATTTTGTATGTTGACAATTTTTATACCAGTGTGGCTCTCTGTAAAGACCTCCTAGGTTGCCAAACGAACGTTTGTGGTACTTTAAGAAATAACAGAAAAGTGTCACAAAAAAAAAATAAAGGAGATGTGTATAGCGAAGAAAATTCACGTGGCATACAGGTGATAAAATGGGTGGATAAATGCCCAGTACTTATGCTTAGTTCCTTACCAGACCACACTGATCGACTAGTTCCGACAGGAAAAAAAATCTCAACGGCGAAGACATCAAGAAACCTCCTGCTAGCATTGCTTATACCAATACAAAAAAGGGCGTGGACATCTCCGATCAGATGTCCTCCTATTACACCAGTCTCAGGAAATCCTTAAAATGGTACAAAAATGTAGTTTTTGAAGTCTTATTAGGAACCTGTGTGGTTAATGCGTGGGTAACTTATAATTCCTATGGCAGTTACCCTAAAATGAATATGCTTTGTTTCCGAGCAAAAATTGCTGAAGGACTAATAGCAAGCATGGACACCGAAGTGGAAGAAGCTGAAGTCCGGCGCCAGTTAATGAAAACGAGCAAAGGATGAAGAAAAGGAAGAGGGGTAAAAGCAGTCACAGAATAGGAAAATACGAAGGTACGGCAAGAAAAAGTAGAAAAAGATGCGCAGAGTGTTACAAAAATATCCAGCAAGAACAGGGAAGTAAAGAGGCCAGAGTTAAGGCAAAAAAGTGCTAAGATTCTGCAAGGATTGCGAAAATTAACCGACGATGTGCTTGGTATGCTTCAAAAAATTTCATGATTAGTTTCGTTTGTTCTATTTTATAGCATGTATAATTAATTTTTTTGCTACTACCCAGAAATCCAATGATTTGTTTTAGTTTTAGAATTTATAGTTGTGATTAATTAGTTTTTTACCAATAAAAATTAAAGAAAATTTGTTTTTGAATCTGTGGCACATAGGAACCCTCATATTCCGGGACCATCTTTTCGACAAGTAAGTATACCCCCCAGGTAGCCGTACCTCCAATAAAAAAGCCCCCAGTATACTCGTCAAGTTTCAAAACGCATTTAACATTATAGGAGGTGTGACCCACCGGTGGACACGGACGACTATTAGTGAAAAGCCGTGTGACCCAACGGTGGGTCACGATGTCGTTAACGCAAATTGTACTTTTTCTCAAAAATTTCAAATGCATCACCCTGCATATTTGTGCAAGTTTGGATCCAATTTTTATAAGCTTTTTTTTGTATAAGATTTGATTCAGATAAAATCACTAGATTTTGAGTTATTAAGCTTTTAATAGAACAACACACCAAAATTAAGGAAAAAAATCACATCATCCATGGAAACAAAAGACAAACAGTAGGCTTGTTCCATATTGTCACTAAGAGTACAGATTTGGCGTAAAAACTAATAACAATCTGAACAGCATAAATCAGCTTCAAGCGTAATAGAGAAAAACAACTATAACAACAACATAAGCAAACAACTATCACTCCTCAAGACCTAATCTACAAAAACTGCTCGAAAATATCTCCACCATATTGAATACACAGCCGTAGTCTTTGGATAAATGACCATTGCACATCCCTCAGCATGTGTTCCCTGATGTGCAGAAAAGCATCCTTAATCCTTTCCTTCCTATTTTAGATGGTGGATATCTATATTATAACATCTTGCTTAACGTAGCCCCATAGAAATAAGTCCATCGGTGTCATAACTGGTGATCTAGGAGGCCAATATATAGGCCCATCATGACCGATCCAACGATTGTTACTCCAGGTGTCCAAATAGTTACGCACACGATTATGATAATGCGCAGGTGCGCCGTCATGTTGGAAGTACATATGCATCCGAGTTTGCAGGTTGACATCCTCCAAAGGCAAATTCAAATGCTCGATCAAAAAATTTAAGTATTCTGTACCTGTTAATATGTTGTCGAAAAAGACAGGCCCGATAACTTGTCTGCCAATAACTCCTCCCCAAACATTCAAGCTCCATCTATTTTGGAAATCTATTTGCCTAGCCCAGGAAGGGTTTTCCGTCGCATAATAGGGCATGTTATGCCTGTTGACAACACATATGCTGTTAAAAGTTGCCTCATCGGTAAAAAGAACCTTATCCAGGAAAGTAGTGTCTTCTCTCACTTTATTTAGCATTATTCTACTAAACTCCATTCGAGCTGCGAAATCCTGAGGACGAAGGCTTTGATGCAAGCATAGGTGATATGGATGGTACCTATGCTTGTGAATAATCCTTTAGACAGAAGTTGTGCATATATCAGTTTCTGATCCAATTTGCCGTGCACCTAAATGGGGATTTTCCTGCAACTTTCATAGAACCTCCAACTGATTCGCCTCAATGGTGACACTTGGATCATTTATACATTTTTTTACTATATTCCACTGCTCCACTTGATTCAAAACGTTCTCGTAGTGTGGAAAATGTTTCCGGCCTTGGTTGTCGCACATTAGGGTATTGATGCTTATACATGCGAGGTGCTCAAAACGAACACCATAAAATATTCACCATTTCTTCTTCAGAAAAATTCATTTTCAAACACGTTTTTATTATAATACTCACAAAGCTAATTTTGACAGTTTGTAACTAATCAACAATTTATTTGTTTCCAAAGATATTGCGATATTTTAAGGAATTAAGCGGTTCCCGAAAAAATAGCCATACAAACCCTTATGTCTAGTATAAAAAAAAAGCTTATAAAAAATTGAACCCAAACTCGGACAAATATACAGGCTGATGCATTTGAAATTTTTGAGAAAAACTACAATTTGCGTTTTTGACCACCCTGTATGAGCAAAAATTAAACTTCGAAAAAGTAACAAATAGAATAAAAGCTGAGGTGTGTAAGTTCTTTTTGGTACAAAATTCAGCACTCCAAATTTCAAAATGACGGACTGAGGGGTTGCCGAAGTGAGGGGTTTTTCTAGACAAAATACTTTATATCTCAGTAGCTAATTACCAAAACCCCATAGTATACCAATTTTCTTCTTTTGAATTTTGTTATCCAAATATGCAATAGAATGACTCAATTCTATTTGAAAAATCACAACTTTGATATGTAGGTCGAAATTGGGACACCCTGTATAATCACCAATATTTTATAAATGTGCCCTCCAATGTCATGAATGACATCCCGTAAATAGATTTTTCCAAAATGTATTTGTTTATGAGTAATATTCCGTCCACACATGGATGGGATACCCTATATATATAATACCAGTGGAGAGGTCTAGCTGACAGCTTCTCTACTCAACTACTGGAGGGAAGCACCCAAATAAGTGAATAATTCAACTGTTATTAAATAAGATGTATGTAATTACATATGTCAAAATCAATGAGGTAAAAGGAAAAGTATACATATGATGAATAACATAGGGCAACACAGGCATTCGCAGTGAAATATACATGTAACATAAGCAGTATGCTTTGTTATCCAAAGGCGAGTTGGCCGCACCTCTACTATAATACCGTCAGAATCATCTGAACAGGCAAATCGACCTGCTGACCTAGTTTCTGACACTACAAAAAGTGACTTCCTCTTGAGCAGAAAAATAGTTCATCGACCTCTTCACCATATGGCAAAGCAAATAACAAACAAAAAGTATGAAGATGAACAGATCCAAACCAATAATAGGAACCAACGGAAATGGAAAATTGCATATTGTAGCAAAAAAGTGATATCTCCATTCCATAGATTCAAGCCTGAGATGACAGCGAATGAGCTCGAAGCCTTGCTCAAAACCACGGTATCACAAATCAAATTTAGGTGCGATGAGAAGTAAATCTGCGGTATTCTTGAAAATATAATTCCCCATGGAATACGTCAATTACGTGTCCACGACCTGAAGATATGTCCTAAAAGAGCAGCAGTACGGAAAATCGGGACTAATTGAACCAATTTAATGAGAAAGACGAAAAATATAGATGTAAACGCTTGCAAATATCTACTAATTATAATGAAAATTGCAGTGCTGCGCTAATATCGTCTTTTCCAATATCAAAGCCCATAATAATTGTAGACGAACAAGCAACATGTGACGCGAGCTGCGCATGCGCTCGACTACGTCGTTGCCCTCAAGCATGGTAGATGCCCAAGCTATTACTAATTTACACTTACATGGCAATGACGAAGTTTCAGAGAATGCAGTGTCATTGGAATTTCCTCACCACCAACATAAATGCAGGATCTTTGTTCATTTTTGGAATGGTTAATGCTATTTTCGAAGATGCAGTATGACCCCTATTTGTATGCATCGCTCTTCATTTCTGGTTTCATTTGGAAGAGTCTCAGTAACTGGGTCTTTATAAAAGTGCTTCTCAACCTAGTCGCAGTACCCTTATTCTGTAAAACATATACAGAAAATCCAAAGACACTAACTGAAAGAGAACCCAGCACTAACATTTCTAGGGAAATAATTTTAATCGTTTAATATATTCCTTTAGGCGAGTGAACTTCCATTCTACATATGGCAAAGTAACTGGATAAAAACGGATAAGGATTTCAAGAGAGCTATGATCTTCACGATGGCTAGATCCAAAAGGGCGCTGTATCTTACGGCTGGAGATTTTGTACCACTTACGCTATCCACATTTGTTGCGGTAAGTTTCTATCAGGGATATTACGGATATTTGCACCCGCATCCGCAATTGCGAAATATCCACACTGGTGGATATTCATGACTCAGAGCAAGCTTATAATCCGCAGTACACGAAGTGTTTGATTGTTCAATGACAATATTAAAAAAAGTATTTTTTATACTAATTTGCATCCACAAAGAAGTTTATTTAAATCTTAAAATCTGCATTCGGATCCGCGGGCTTGAGCCTTTGATGGATCTCAAAAATCTGAATCCGCAATAACATTAGTTCTTATAACCGGCAGGGGCATTATGTAAAAAACCTAAAAAACGTAAAAAAACCGACGAAATGTCATCTTGCAGATTAGGTAGTTTTTAATGTGCAAGTTCATGCAGCATAGCTTGTGCTAAGTGAACATCTTGTAGAAAAATGTATGTTATGTCACAAAAAACCGACAAAATGTCGCTTTTCAAGATACGTAGTACCCGTGCCGTTTATTTTGTATAAAGGAACATTGTATACAATTTATATCTGCCCATATTACTAAATATTTGTAATATGGGCAGTTGGGTGATTAAAGTTAATCCACTAATCTAGATCACTTGAAATGTCAAATATCCATATTCCTTTCTTCGATACAACCCAAATAGTTCGAGCATAGAATAGAGAGTTTTTAGTGCTATTGTTTTGCTGCTTCGTTATGATTTTCCTTATTTCGAGTTTAGCCAGTAGCGTTATCGAAATAAGAAAGCTCTATTAGTAGAGTAGAGGATGGCTTATTCGATGAGGTTATAATTTTCTTATCCAGAACTTTTGCAGGAATTTGTAAAGCTGGATAAGCTTCATTGAACTAATTTCATGCTATACAAATATATGTATTGAAATATAACAGAAATATTAGTTTCAATCACAGATAAATGTAATTACAAGAAATAGGCAGTGTTCTAAGTAAATTGAATTGTCCTGATTTTTGTTATATATTCAGTGTGGCAATGTAGCATTTTATTGTAATTCTGCTTATTTTATGGGCACTTGTCCTTCTGTGATTCTAAACCCATTCGTTTGTTGTCCGGTTTGGACACAAATATTACCGAAACTATACTATTCTATACTATTCGTCATTATTCGTCAGAGCGGTCCGGTGGCCCTTGGCTCTTAGTCGGTCTGTTAGTCTGTCAGATCTGGTTACCCAGATACCAATCATGTTTAAGGAGAAAAGGGAAAGAAGGAAAGAAAGGAAGGAAGAAATATAGCAAAGAAAAGGAGTAAATCATTTGGAATCTCAGAGGATTCCGTTGATGTGCTATGATGAGATTTATCTGAAGAGTCTTCCGTAGAAGAATCTTCTGAAAAGGAGTCACCGATGCCAGCACTGATGTTGGTATCGCCATTCGCTCTGAAGAATCTCCTGACAGATCTTACAATTTGCGGTTCCTCGTCAAGGTCATTGTCCAGATCATAATTGGGAGAGAACTGCCTTTCCATGACGTCAGCAAAAACCTCCACTTTATCCTCAGTCCTGAAAACTATGCCTCCAGGACCATGAATATGTGGTAGTTGTTCTTGCCTTCCGTTTCTGAGCGATTTTGTCACTTTCCAGCGAGGAATACTTGATTCAAGCATCCCCTCCAGAAAGTCTGCTCCACTGCTCATTGCGGAATTCATGGAGTGCATTTCTCACTTCATGGACGAGATTCGTCGCTCTACGAATGTCATCAGGATGAATGTAATAAGGTTTTGAAACTTTAGGGTGTGATTTACTTCAAAATCGAAAAAATAAGCTGCTTGAGATGGGTGTCAAGTAGCCAATACTGTCAAATTACTACGGTTCACTTTAGGGGCGATGAAAACTCTTTTTTCGTCGGCATTCGCCATTTTTTGTTGCTGCCAAAAATAACGTAACGGAAGGCTTAATGTTTCGTTATTTTTGTTGTTCTCTAATATCAAAGTAAATCTTAACTGTGCTCAACGACCACCTATAATAATAATAATAGATGTCTGTATTTATCTACAATTACAATGTAGTATAGCCGACTTACGTTATATGGCGTAGTATGCTGCTACTCTTACACTTAACCATATAATTGCTCGCAGATGTTCACAACAATAAACTATTCCCACATAGTATTATACTAAGTGACATATAAATCCGAACACCCAGTTTTAATGGTTTTATTTTAATAAAAGTTGGTGAATGTATTTATCTTACTGTAAACAACAAGTGAAAAAATTTTCAGCCTTATCAGTTAGACATTCCGGTTTTTATACTGCTTTTTTTAATTCACTAACGCTCTAAAAATGAGTATTTCAGCCGCAGTAAAGAATCAACGTTGGCGGATTTTGGTTCTTGACATCCTTTACGATCGGTTACGATGCCTAGAGTACGGAGACCTGTACGATTTCGTCAACTTAGTGAGTTTGATAGGGGCCGTATAGTGGGACTTCGGGAAGCTGGACTTTCTTGTCGGGCAATTGCAGTTAGAGTGCAAAGAAGTGTAGACACTGTGGTTAGATGTTGCCAGGCATGGCTTCGAGAAGGCCGTACGCAAAGAGCAAGGGGCACTGGACGCCGCCGTAGAACAACAGACCGTGAAGATCGCCGCCTAAGATTATTGGCCTTAAGGGACCGTTTCTCCACTACCAGGTCCATTGCAAATGAATGGTTTGCAGAACACGGAAGACCTATTGGCATGCGAAGTGTTTATTGACGAATGAGAAGTTTTGGATTGTTTTCATACCGGCCACACTGGGTCCTCCCTTTAACTCGAGAACACCGACGTAATCGCCTTGAGTGGTGCAGACAACGGTCACTCTGGGATCAGGAATGGAACAGTATTGTCTTTAGTGACGAGTCTCGATTTTGTTTAGGCATGCACGATGGTCGTGCCAGGGTTAGAAGGCGACGTGGTGAAAGGAGGAATCCACAGTTTTTTGTTGAAAGACATGTTCATCACACTGTTGGAGTTATGCTATAGCTTATGGTTCCAGGTCACCTTTAATCTTCATCAGAGGTAACATGAACGCGCAGCGTTATATCCACGAAGTTCTAGAACCCCATCTTTTACCCTATCTTGACACCCTGGCAGGTCCAACTTTCCAACAAGATAATGCCCGACCACATGTTGCAAGAGTCACAATAGACTTCGTTCAACATAATGATGTCACATTGTTACCATGGCCACCAAGATCTCCCGACTTATCCCCAACTGAGCACGTGTGGGATATGATGGGTAGGAGATTGCTCAATTTGCAACGTCCTCCTCAGACTCTAGAAGCACTTCGAGAGGAGTTGGTGGTTGCCTGGAATGAGATACCACAGGAGGACATTGACCACCTGATCAGAAGCATGCCTAGGCGCGTTGGAGAATGCGTAGCACATCAGGGTGCATCCACACATTATTAAAGGTCAAAGGGCTTTAAAGCAGTGCAATCATTTTGAAATTTTTATCATTTACTTATTATGCTTCATTAAGTACTTATACAAAATTTTATTAAAATAAAACCATTAAACGTGGGTGTTCGGATTTATATGTCACTTAGTATAATTAGTAACATTGAAAGTAAAAAGTAAAAAACAAAAAGACATACTTTCCAAGCTTATTACACGAAAAATTATGAACCTGTATAAACTAGGGGATGAAAAATAAATGAATGATTATGTAAATTATATGTTTTTGTCGAAAGACAGGTAAAGAAAATGTAATTAATGAATGAAAATTATTTGTATACTTAGGAAGGTCGTTATAAATATTAGTAAAAACTGCGTTTAAAAGTGTAGACGTATGGTGCGGTATTCTAACACATTTTTCTCTGTTCCAGATCATCAAGGCATCGTATTCATTTTATACAGTAATTAAGAAAACAACTGGTTAGGAAAGGGCAAAGTGCAATGTATTTTTGTAAGATTTGATTCATAAAACTTGCGCAAGTAAACTTAATTTGTTTTCAAATTTATTTTATAATCAGAGCTTTGGCCATTTTAGGGTCGCGGAAAAGGGCCGATGTGATTGAATTATCATTTACCTGAAATCAACCGAAAGTTGTAGAATTATTCTACTTTAAATAATTATGCATCTAGAAGAAATAGCTCAATGAGTAGTTCAGTCACAGAACCTTTTCCTCGTTTAACCAACATCGTAACATATCATCTTGAAAATCCTGTAGACCTTTCCTAATTCATTCTAGACTTCGTTGCATTAGATTGTTTTGTTTGTAATCAGCAATTATTGAAGACCTCGCTGCAAAAACCAGCAAGTCCCATTAATATAACGTTTTTTCGGATATTTAGATAATTGCGGATCGTTTGGTATCAGGTATCAGGTAAGTCCTACGCGTCTAATGTGAAATACCATTGGATTCCACTTGCCTGGTCAAGTATTGGTAGCATCAATCAGGCAAATCCAGAACAAACCTGCTTTTATCGCCAAGATCACTTTTTATAGGTGGGGACTTGTCTATACCCTATTCGTAGTCCATTTACGCACCAAAAAAGATGCAGCGCGACAAAGGGGTAGCCACTTAAGCGTTGCAATAGCTATTGGTCATTTGGCCATAAAACTAAACAAGTGCAGGATCCGACAGGATAGTACTCAGGCTTGGGGTACCGCTGGCACAATGACGCCAGCAGTTTCTGTTCAGATTCGGTGCATACATCGCTTGTGTTTATACGTTAGCATGTTGTCTACGGATACAGCAGATGAAACTGAGAATATTTCTCCCAATGCTTCCTTCAGCCATGCTTTCTCTTCAGTGATGTCTCCTCCCCGAAAACGTGACACAAAGGGACATTTGAATATTTAGACAAAAGAAATTGTCCGTAACGTTTATAAGTGCGAAATTCATGATATTGAAAGACCTGTGGCGAACAAAACAGACTTATGTACTAAGACAATTCTCGACATTGTTAAGAAATATAAAAAAAAACAAAAGATTGTCTCCACCACACAAGGGGCTGCATTACATGAAGCTGTTGGATACAGTTGATAACTTTGATCGGAATGCCATCAGACGCAAAGTCCATCATTTTTTGAAAGGCAGGCACTTTCCACCATAGACAAAGTATTACAGGAAGTTAATAGTGATGAAGACTTACCTACTTTCAAAAGGACCACATTCTATAGTTTACTCAAAGAACTTCATTTTGAGTATAGAAAACGGGGCAGAAATAGTATTTTGATGAACAGCTAAGCGATTATTTTATGGAGAAGACCAGGGCAGGGAGATTTATTACTTGGATGAAACCTAGATAAATGCAGGACATACAAAATCTAAAGTATGTGCTGACTCTACAATTAAATCAGCAAGACAAGCCTTCTTAGATGGACTAACCACTGGCCTAAAGAGTTCGTCAGGTACGTGTCTCTAGCCAATTCGTTATTTGTGTTGTAAAAATAGTGTCGAGTAGACTAAATCTATGAGCCCACGGTGAAAACTTAGCTATATCTGGTAGATTTGGAACCGACACCTGTTGGATACTATGCTTGTATTATTGTTTCCTTGAATAACATATGAAATAGTTAGTTCCAGGATAAGGAGGAGGAAAACGATTTTTTATCTGTCACATTGGCAGTGAAGAAAACTTTGTGCCCACTGCCCTAAAGGCATTTGAGTCAAAGAAAACGACCGACGACCATGAAGAAATGGACGGGAATTCATTCGAACGTTCCCAAAGCTTGACGACAATGTCATCATTGTACTTGATAATTCTGCATACCACACTAGAAAACTAGAAAAAATCCTCACAATGTCCACACGAAACGCAGAAATTCAACAATGGCACCTATCAAAAGACATTAGTTTCAATTAAAATATGGTCAAAGCAGCACTTATGCATCTGGTCAGGCAGCACAAATATAACATAAATATAATCTTAATGTTATCCAAAAGGCTAAAAATTAAAATAAGACCGTTTTAAGGCTACCCCCTTATCACTGCAAATTAAATCCCATTGAAATGATTTGGGTAAATATAAAAAACTATGTGGCTTCAACAAATAGAACGTTCAAATTTTCTTACGTAAACAATTTGCTTTATGAAGCTGTCAACAGAGTGACGGGAAACCATTGGAAAGGTTGCATCCGTCACGTTCAACAGACAATCGAAACAAAGATGTGGGATCTGGACAATACGATCGATATTCAAATTGAACCTGTAATAATTAATATTAGCCATTCGGACGATGGTAGAAGTACTTCCAGCGAATAAATAATTGTGAAAAGTACCTATGTGCACTTCTTTCTATAAAAATAATCATTTATTTTGTTAGACTATTAGAAACGATTGAGGAAAATACCGACCTGTACAATCTCGCTTTTGGGCATGTTGTATTTTGTCTGGGGGTGCATGGACTACGAATGGGGTATAGATCCGATCGTGTGGTTATGTAGTCCTCACGTACGTGGCGTCATTTAGTATTCAATCAACAGTAACGGAGTATTGTTCGCACTGCAATAAGTCATATTTGCCGTTAAAATGTCGTCAGATGAGGAGCCGTTTGAATCGTCAGGAAGGAAATGCAAGAAGGGAATAAAAGTAAACCAAAGATAACTTACGATTTTTATTACCGATATTTTTTACACAACTTTAATATGAGCTTCGGGTCTTCACGATAAACGCAGAGCAGAACAGAATTTGCCGTTACCTCATGTTCTCGCTCGCGATGTCTTTTGCTATAGACAGCTGCGGATGTATAACTTCTGTATACACTCTGCCGAGTCTGGCACTTCTGATTTTTATATGTATCACGAAGTTACATGGAAAAAGGGCAGTAACAAAGTTATAAGCTTTTTGCATCATTATTTACATCCTTATAATTGTGCATCCAGTAAGGCTGCAGTAGAGTGTTTCAGATCATTGTGCTTTGAAAATAAATATCGATGCTCAAACCACTTCCCAAGAAAATGGCACGATCTTTAGAATCTATAATAAAACTGAATGTAACTCATTGTCTTTTTATCTTTCAAAATAAACCTGACACGATGTATATAATGCACATTCCGCGGAATCTAAATTTACACATTTCATAATACTTTTTCGAATATTAAAATATGTGTTCCACAAAGTATACTCAGAATAATAATCCCAGGATGAAAAGCTGGATTACTCGAGAAGTAGTGGAGGGTAAGGATAGGTTAAGATTTTATTTTGAGGCTAAACACAAACATCCTACAGAAGGAAACAAAGAAATATATAGAGATTTTAAGAGAGAATATAATAAGATATTAGCAAAAGTAAAACAAAATTACAATTTAACTATAGATTGGAGGAGAGTGACAATCGTAATAAAACTGTCTGGGACATAATAAATCTAACAACAGGTAGGAAAAGCAAGATTAAAATAAATCCTTAGGGTATTACTCCTGATGAGTTAAATGCATTTTATGTAAACTATGCTGGCACACTCACTGGTAATCTGCCAAGTGGAAACCTCAGTGTCCATTTATATATGGATACGCCTCTGGAACAGTCAAAATCTATGTTTTTTAGGCCAGTTGATCTTTATGAATTAAGATGTATTATAAACAAATTATAAAGTAAAAAGACAGAGGATGTTTTTGGATTGAATGTGTTTAGTTTTAAGAAGGTAGCCAAGTTAGTACTGTAACCACTGGTAGATATAATAAGCACTTGTTTCTTGGAGGGTACATTTCCATCTCTTTTAAAATCTGCTAAATTAATCCCGCTCTACAAAAAAAAGGAGAGCTGAACCTTCCTCAAAACTTTTGACAAATATATATTCTGCCTGAGGTTTCTAAGCTATTAGAAACGGTTATTTTTGATCAACCTGTTTCATTTTTTGATAAAAATACACCTAAAATCATTATTCCCAGGCAGTTTGGCTTTAGGAAAAACAAAACGACAACAGATGCCATACTAACTTTAGTAAATTGTACAAGGCAGACCTTTGAAATTAAAAATAAGTTTGTAGGACTATTTACTGATCTGACTGCCGCTTTCGATTGTGTGAATAGAAATATTTTATTAGAAAAACTACAATTTTATGGCGTTAGGGGAACTGCTCTAAAGCTGATGCGGTCCTATCTCTCAGTCAGATTCCAGGTTGTTTTCTGTAATAATCGAGCTAGTGAACCTATGCTTGCCGAGACCGGTGTGCCTCAGGGTTCCGTGATGGGTCCACTCCTCTTTCTCATATATGTGAACGATTTGCCGCAAGCATTCAAAAACGAACATGGTATAGAGACCATACTGTATGCCAACATTTGGAATTGCTGTAGAGAGGCGTGGACGCAGCGCGGATGCTTGGGAGCGTCCTGGATCGGGCTAAGGAGTGGTTTGTCACAAACCAGCTTGTTCTGAATGAAGTAAAAGCTGAAACTCTTTGTTTTGAAACTAAACCTGTCAGTACAGTTGCAGAAACGACTAAAACTAAACTTCTGGGTGTAATTTTGGACACTAGTCTGTTGTATACTGACCATGACCATTTTATGTAATGAATTAAACAGGGCAATTTATGCTATAAGGCAAATAAAATATACCGTCAATGAAATAGCTGCACTTGCAGCTTATTATTCTCTTTTTGATTCTATTCTACGTTATGGACTTTTAGTTTGGAGCTCTGCAGCTAATATGCATATTGAAAGAGTGTTTGAAGTTCAGAACTCTGGAATAAGGTGCATTGCTAATTTAAAGCAACATGTATCGTGTAGGCCTTGCTTTAGATCATAGAATATAATAACTTGTATGGCCTGATTATCTATGAAAAATTAATATATGTCAGATAAAACATTTCAGACTTTTTTAAGTGTGCAGATTTTCACTGATACAACACAAGACATTGCAATACTCTGGTACTTCCAACAAACGGATTGGCTAGAACCAACAGTGAAGGAATCAAATTCTACAATGCGTTGCCA